ACAATCTCGGCTCACTGCAACCTCCGCCTCCCAGGTTCAAGCGATTCTCCTGCCTCAGCCTCCCAAGTAGCTGGAATTACAGGCATGTGCCACCACACCTGGCTAATTTTTCTATTTTTAGTAGAGGTGGGGTTTCGCCATGTTGGCAAGGCTGGTCTTGAACTCCTGACCCCAGGTGATCTGCCCACCTCGGCCTCCCAAAGTGCTAGATTACAGGTGTGAGCCACTGCACCCAGCCACATTATCAATATATTTTAAAACAGGACTCATACAAATATAATATGAAGTCTCTGTTACCTCTGATGACTTCAAAGTCTTTCACCAAAAATTCTCAAGAAGGGGATCTTAATCAATCTGCAAAGACTTACCATTAAAAAAAAATTTATATTCTCTGAGGTAGAGTTGATGACCACCTGAGTAGACAGAAGTCAGAGACTGGTGTTTGAGTCCCATTTCACTAGGACTTAATTGCGAGACCTTGGGAAAGTTCCTTTGTTCGTAAAACATGGGAAAAAATTATTAGCCTATATCGTAAGAACTTTTTAAAAATTCACGAGATGATGTATGAAAAGTGATAAAGCATCATATGAAATTATTGCATTTTACCTACTAAAGAAACTGAGACACAGAGTGATACGGTTTGGCTCTGTGTCCCCACCCAAATCTCATCTTGAATTGTAATCCAAATTGTAATCCCCACATGTCAAGGGAGGGTCCTCGTGGGAGGTGATTGGATCATGAGGGCAGTTCCCCATGCTTTTCTCGTGATAGCGAATTCTCATGAGATTGACTTGTTTGGTAAGTGTCTGGCACTTACCCCTTTCTCTTCCTCTTGCCTGCTGCCATGTAAGATGTGCCCTGCTTTCCCTTTTCCTTCCAAGATGATTATAAGTTTCCTGAGGCCTCTCCAGCCATGTGGAACTGTGAGTCAATTAAACATCTTTTGTTTATAAATTACCCAGTCTCAATGGTATCTTTATAGCAACTGGAAAATGGACAAATACACAGAGCAAACAAAAGATTTGCCCAAAGTCATAATTAGCATATGGAGAGTCAAAAATGAAATATAAATTCAAGTGACTGGACATGGTACAGGACAGAGTTGATTCAGGTAAACAATTTGCTTTGTTGAAGTCAGCATGCATGTGACTCTAAAAATCATTAGTCCACTGAGGTAAAAAGGAGCATTTACTGAGTGTATAGAGAGACCTCACAGTATCAAAGGATGGAACACAAAGAGTTGCCAGGTTTCATACAAATTGGTCAGAGAACTGGGGAATTCTCAGGGACAGGGTGGCTTGTCCCTCTGTGTTCCCCTTGTATTTGCTTCTGAGCCAACTCCAGCCTCTCCCACATTCTGTCTGTCTTCCTCGGCTCCTTTATCCTGTGTGAGGCACAACATGGCTGCTCTTCCTGGATCTAGACCAGGAAGACCACTGAGCTCCAGTACTCACAATCAATTGGCAATACACACATGAACTAGCCTGGCTCTTCTGAGGAAACCTGCACCATACAAGTCATTTCTGAGCAAATAACTAGCTCCACCTGGGTCAGGCGTGTTCGATGCTGGTCTAAGCAGTGATGGGCTTCCCCACCACCACCCATCCCTAGAAGTCACATTACCTCATGTTATCTTGTACAGCTGTATCTTCCAGAGAGCTGTGGGTGGCAAGGGTGCTATGTTGCCAGGCTGGGTGTTATCACATAAAGAGAGGAACTATTTATAGAGAGAGTGTGCTTTGGATGATTTCATGATGTATTTCAGTTATGAGATTTAAGATCCAAATTTCCTGGTCAACAAAATCAACTCAGTTTAATTAATATTATGTTGGGCTCTTAAGATACACACATATGTCCACAAGTTATGTCCACAGATAACTGTAATATAAGACAGTCTATGAAAGTTTCTTAGAAATTGTCTTATAAAATTACATGAAAGCATTAAAAAAGAATTAAGTCCTCCTGGGGGAGTCAGAAAGCTTTTACTAAGTGCAATTTGAGACTCGTCTTGAAGCATTCATTTAATTTTTATAGAGAGGTGGAAGATGGGGAAGACACACATAAAGCAGTGGGGAAAGCATGAACAAAATATGGAGAAGTAAAATTACATGTACACTCTGAAAGGGTGAACAGTGCACTGAAGAGCAGCATGCAGGAAGGTGAAAAGGAAACATATTAATTGACTCATCACAACTATATGCTGGACATTTTCAGGTGACACCTCATTTAATCTTTTTTTTTTTTTTTTTTTTGAGATGGAGTTTCACTCTTACTGCTCAGGCTGGAGTACAGTGGCGCGATCTCGGCTCACCGCAACCTTCGCCTTCCAGGTTCAAGTGATTCTCCTGCCTCAGCCTCCTGAGTAGCTGGAACTACAGGTGCCCACCACCATGCTCAGCTAATTTTTTGTATTTTTAGTAGAGGCGGGGTTTCAACATGTTGGTCAGGCTGGTCTTGAACTCCTGACCTCAGGTGATCTGCCCGACTTAGCCTCCCAAAGTGCTGGGATTACAGGCGTAAGCCACCATGCCCGGCTTCTTCTTCTTCTTTTTTTTTTTGTTTTTGAGACTAAGTCTCACTCTGTCACCCAGGCTGGAAAGCAGTGGTGCCATCTTGGGTCACTGCAACTTCCAACTACCACCTCCCGGGTTCACGCGATTCTCCTGCCACAGCCTACCAAGTAGCTGAGATTACAAGCACATGCCACCACACCCGGGTAACTTATGTATTTTTAGTTGACATCGGGTTTCACCATGTTGGCCAGGCTGGTCTCAAACTCCTGAGCTCAACTGATCCGCCCGCCTCTGCCTCCCAAAGAGCTGAGATTACAGGCATGAACTACTACGCCCGGCCTCATTTAATCCTTTCAACAATTCTTGAGGTAGTGTCTATTGTCCCTATTTGACCAAGGCACATGAAGGCTGAAGCCACTTTTCCAGTGTACCATGTGGGGGCTGAGGGTAAGAACAGATGGAGGGAAGGTCTGCCCACCATCTAAGGAGTTCACACCAGATTCTGAAGGCACTGTGAGGTCACACAAGATTTCTAAACAAGGAACAGAACAAACATCTGAATTTTAAGAAAAATAATGCTGGTGGTAATGTAGGGATTAAATAGAATATTCTTTCACTGTCATTCATTCATTTAATTAAAAAAAATATTGAAAACTAACTGTGGGTCAAGATCTTGTTACAAGGCACTGTGGGAAAAAATGTTACATATGCCAGATGTGGCCCCTAATCTCATAAAGCTTATAATACTAACTTATATATGTCTTCCTCAACATATATATTCTATAAAATCAAATGATGCTCCACTTACGATGAGATTACATACCAATAAACCCACCGTAAACGGAAAATAGTGTAAGTCGAAAATGCATTTACTACCCTGATAAACCCATCATAAAGATGAAAAATTGTAAGTCAAACCATCATAAGTTGGGGTCTATTTGTATACATACAGACACACATACAAATACATATATATATAGAGAGAGAAAGTAAACCTCTAAATTTTAATTATCTTTTACCTCACAAAAATAGTATATTTTTGTTTTAAAAAGCAATTTATATACTCTGGAAATATCCCAAACATATCCCATATCAGACATATGATCTGAAGATTATTTTCTCCCATTATGTAGGTTGCCTTTTTACCCTGTTGATAGTGTCTTTTGATGCACGAACGTTTTTAGTTTTCATGGGGTCCACTGTTGGTTTTTTTCTTTTGTTACTTTTGTGTTTGGTATCATATCCAATAAATATGCCAAATCCAATGTCATATTTTCTCCTGTGTTTTCTTCTAAGAGTGGGTCTTACCTTTAAATCTTTGATCCACTTTGAGTTAATTTTTATAAATGATGTAAGGTAAGAATCCAACTTCATTCTTTTGCATATGGATATGCAGTTTTCCCAGCACCATTTGTTACAAAGATTGTCCTTTTCCCATTGAATGGTCTTGGCATCCTTCTTGAAAATTAATTGACCATATATGTGAGGGTTTATTTCTGGGCTCTCTATTCTATTCCGTTGGTCTACATGTCCTTACACCAGTACCATACTGTTTTGACTACTATAGATTTGTAGTAAGTTTTGAAATCAGAAAGTGTGAACCCCTCCAACTTTGTTCTACATCAGTTGTTTTGGCTATTCAGGGTCCCTTGAGATTTCATATAAATTTTAGGATAGGTTTTTCTATTTCTGAAAAAAAAAAAAAAGGATTTTCATAGGGATTGCATTGAATCTGTAGACTGGGTAGTACTCACACAGCACTTGGAATGCACTAAATGCCACTGAAGTGAATACTTTAAAAACGGTTCATTGTATATTATGTGAATTTCAGCTCAATTAAAAAGAAAGGATTGGGTGATTATACCTCAAAATCAGGTACAGGGACAGCATGAGGCAACTAGAAGGGAAAGGAGATTGTAGTTAGAGGGAGGAAGGTTGGAGTTTAAGCCCTCTAATACAGAATAGTTGGGGGAAGGTGACGGTCCCTGGAGTTGAGCAGATAAAAGTGCAGGAAGGGTAGGGTGCTCTAAAGGTAATCCACAAAGACAATGACCTCCAAAGTAGATTCGAGACCTCTAAAGTAGATTCAGAAGCATGCACACCAAGCTGTGCATGGTGGTCATCACTGGAATAGGGTGTGGATAGATAAGATTATAGAGGGATTTTTATTATAGTACTTTTTTTTTAAGGATACAGTTTCACTCTGTTGTCCAAGCTGAATCGTACAATTGCAATTGTACGATTACTTACTTACTTACAAGTGCAATCGTAACTCACTACAGCCTCGAACTGGGCTCAAGCAATCTTCCCTGCTCAGCCTCTTTTTGTAGCTGAGACTGCAGGCATATGCCATCATGCATGGCTAATTTTTTTAGTATTTATATTTTGTAGATATGGGGTCTTGCTATGTTGTCTAGGCTAGTCTCAAACTCCTAGCCTCAAGTAATCTCCTGCCTCAGCCCCCCAGTACACTGGGATTACAGGTATGAGTCATCCTGCAGGGCCTACAATAGTATATTTTAAAGGAGAAAGAATAATAAAAAATACTGTTTTAAAGCTGTAATTTAAGATCTTTAGGAGAGAAAGATTATAAACCAGGTGCCTTTTTAAAAAAGTCATTGTAGGAGTGTCAGGAAGGTGTTAGATGATACAGGCATGGACGGATGGGGGGCGGGCATGCCAGCTGGCTTAATCTCTTATTTATTTTCAGAGCAATGGTGTGGCAGTAGCATTGTGAAGCTGGGAGAAGGCCAACCCTGCTCCCAACCCCACAATATATGAGGACTGGTAAAGTAAGCACCCCTCAATTCAAGACAGTAGCAGGGGAAGCTATGTTCTCGTAAGATAGCCAAGTTTCAGTTAAGGCAAGGAGTGGGAGACAGGCTGGGGATGTAGGATGGTTTGCTTTCTATAAAATGGGGGTTCCGGAGAGTACAGCAGAAAGGTGTGAGGAGGAAAGAGGCAGTGGGGGAATGAGTTTGGGTAGGCACAAGGGGGTCTGGGACCAGTATACAGGATAAGACGGATGAGTGGGGACACTTACATTTTAGGTACTTGTATGGAAAGGGGATAGGGAAATTTAATGGAGAATAGTAGCCCCTAAGGGCCTAGAAAGACCTGGGATGTCAAGTTTAGCAATAGTGAAGCCTCTTGGGATCTGAGCAGGATGTTGGATTTAGCTGGGATGTTACGGATAGCAGAATTTGGGTAAACAATAAAATAACAATCCAAAGACGATACAAAGTCTCAGAGGCAGACACTAGCATGGATAACTCAAGGGCCCAAAAGCAAGCCAGATAGACTGAAGCAGAAGGTTTGTGTTGGGGATTAGAAGGCTGGCTCCCAAGGGTGGTACTGGCTTTTGGAGAGCTAAACCAGGAGAGGAGTGGGACATAATTTATAAGAAACAGGGGCTCGTTATGGTTTTTGGAGGAATTGATGAAAACAACATTTAAAGAAGATTAGTATGAGAAGTATCCAACAAAGTGGATTGGGTCAGGAAAAACTGGACACTGTAGGTTTTGCAACTATCCACACATGATATGGTAGAAGCTTGAACTAGGGAGAAGAAGAAAAAGATAATTTCAAGATAAAACCATACAGAACTCATTTTATATATGAAAAGGTAGAAAAAAAGAGGGTGTTAAAATTTTCAAAATTTTGAGCCTGGCTGATTAGAGAGTTAATCAAGAACATGGGCAGGGGAAAAAAAAGAAACAAAGAAAAAAAACATGGGCAGGGAGCCTGAAAGAAGAGGATCAGTGTAGAGAGAAGGAGGGGACAATGATGAACTTAGTTTGGGACCTAGATTCATTAGACTCTTATAGCTAAATAACACTTAGCTCTGGCTATGTGGAACAACTATCACATTTTCCAGATGAGGAAATCTTGAGTTTGAGAAACAGGAATTTTGGCTCTGCTATTTGCTAGATATACAAACTTGACAATTTACTGACCTCTGGGTCTCAGGCTGTTGTCATATCAAGGCTTGAGTGTGGGAGGATCTGCTTCCAACCTCATTCACAAGGCCTACGGTTCTTGCTGGCTGCTGGCTGGAAACATCAGTTCCTTGCCATAAAGGCCCTTCCAGAGGGTACTCACAATATGGCAGCTGGCTTCCTTCAGAAAGGGAGAGACAGAGAGAGAAGATGCTCGAGGAAAAGCCCTAGTTGTTTTATAACCTAATCCCAAAAGTGACATCCCATGACCTTTGCCAAATTTTATTCATTAGAAACAAGTCAGTAAGTCTAGCCCATACTCAAGGAGACAAGATTATACACCAAAAGGCGGGATCACTGGGGACTATGTTAGAGGCTGCCTGCCACAGTATCTAACAGTTATATTTTTAGATATCTTAGTCTATTTTTTGTTGTTTATAACAGAATATCTGAAATTGGGTTGGTTACTTATTTATTTATTTAGAGATAGGGTCTTGCTCTGTCACCCAGGCTGGAGTGCAGTGGTACAATCACAGCTCACTGCAGCCTCAAACTCCTGGGCTCAAGTAATCTTCTGCCTGTCTCCTGAGTAGCTGGGACCATACGTGCACACCGCCACATCCAAGCTACTTTAACATTTTTAAAAATTAAAAAAAATTTTAATTTTTGTTTTGTAGAGACAGAGTCGCACTATGTTGATTAGGCTGGTTTCTAACTCTTTCTGGCCTCAGGCAATCCTCCTGCCTTAGCCTCCCAAAGTATTGGGATTATAGGAGTGACCCACCACCCCTGGCCTGAAACTGGATAATTTTTAAGAAATGAAATTCAGTTCTCACAGTTGTGGAGGCTGGGAAGTCTATGGTTGAGGGGCCGAATCTGGTGAGAGTCTTCTTCATGGTGGTGGGGATTCTGCAGTATCCTGAGGTGGTGCAGGGCATCACATGGTGAAGGGGGTGAGTGTGCTCACATGCTAGCTAGGTCTCTTTTCCTCTTGTTATAAAACCATTAGTTTCTCTCCCATTATAACCTATTAATCCATGAAGCCATTAATCCATTAATCAATGAATTTATTAATCCTCTTAAAGTCCCTACCTCTCAATACTTAAGTTTCAGCATGAGTTTTGAAGAGGACATTCAAACCATAGCAATACCCATGTCTTCGTTTTTGTAATTGGTTTACCCATGCTGGGCAATTCAATAAATATTGAATCCATTGAGTTAGGACAGACAGAATTTGTGCATCAAGGAAGGCAAAAAAAACTTTACCTACAGGAAAAATTCATTAAAATTTCCATAGAGGAAAATTATGCTTATACTGATTTTTAAAGCATAGACAATAGGTTATCAGGAAACAAGCTGGGAAAGTTTAAGGTTATCCAATAATTTTAATTTGGACTGGAGTTCTTCTGTACTGATTTTAAGGCTGAGTGAAAATATCACAGACATGAAGAAAATATTTCATAATTTGAAAAATCTCCAGTCTTATTAAAATGTAAAATATTGAGCAACTCATAGGATTTTATCATTTGATTTCAAATATATCTTTAGAAATCCTAATAATCTAACTCAGTCTACCAGATTATTATTATTATTATTATTTTTTTGAAAGAGGGGTCTCACTCTGTCACCCAGGCTGGAGTGCAGTGGTGTGATCACAACTCACTGCAATCTCAACCTCCTGGGCTCGACTGATCCTCCTACTTCAGCCTCCCAAGTAGCTGGGACTATAGATGCGTGCCAACACGCCCAGCTAATTTTTTATATTTTGTGGAGATAGAGGTCTCACTATGTCATCCAAGCTGGTCTTGAACTCCTGGGCTTAAGCAAGCAATCCTTGGCCTCCCAAAAAGCTGGGATTACAGGCATGAGCCATGACATCCGGCGGTCTGCCAGATCTTGACAGCCATTTTACTAAATTAGCACTCCTAAGTTTCACTTGTTTTCTAAAAGCATTTTTATGAGCACAATGACCAACTAAAACCTTGTATGTAAAAGTTCAGAAGTTTCTTTAACAGTACAATTTAGAATGCATCTAGGAAAAACACAAAGGCTATTCTCCCATTTTCATGGCCATTATGATAAAGCTGAAATTCTAGTTGTATTTTTTATTGTTGATTTGCTTAATTCTATGAGCTTTGAAGGCCCCCATATTTGCCCCCACATTCTAGTACCTTCCTGCTTTCCTCACATTTTGATTTGGTATTCTGGGTGCTTGGGATGAAGAAGAATATGGATGAACTTCAAATAAGCAGGTTTGGCAGTTACCCAAAATGGCAAAAATGACAGAGCATGAAGTAGATTTCCCAAGGGCTTCTCACCTAATAGTAAGACCATCACTGTAGAATTTGTTGTCCCATATTCTCCCCTGCAATTCTGGCCTGCTCACTGAGGCTGTCAGATCATGCAAGCTTTGACCCATCTAACGAGGCTCCCCAAGATCTAAGCAACCAGAGGGCAGAAGCAAGCAGCAGTGGAGTCCCCAAGTAATGCCATCTGGAAGAATACTGATTTTGCTTTACTGACCATTGTCCTCTAACAATTAAAAGGTTTAGTTCATGGTTTTACAGCACTTTGAGCAGTAGGATATTGGATCCAAGTGCTCAACAGTCCTGTAGCTCTGCTGCCAGTGGGTTCGGTGCCTGGGAAGCAGGAGGCATGCTGCAACCAACTTGCTCGCAGTAAATCACTTCCTACTCAAGGGTGGCTGCTGGCAGCTGGAAATTTGATTTAGGAACCAATATATTGTTAAGCACCATTGTTTTTGTGTACAAAGAACAATTCTGAGACTGTTTTTTAAGCATTCTTGATGTTATACTATTATAGTGTCTCCCATTTTCTATTCATTCACTTTCTTTGAATAGCATTCTTGTCTTAGTAACTAGGAACAAAAGTAAATATAAAACATCCCATTTTATGACAGTTCATTTCCACTTTCCTGACTAAAAACTTAAAATTTATAAATTTCTCTCAAATTAGACACAGGATTTTTTTTTTTTTTTTTTTTTTGAGACAGGGTCTCACTATGTCACCCAGGCTGGAGTACAATGGCACGATTATAGCTCATTGCAGCCTTGATCTCCTGGGCTTAAGTGATCCTCCCACCTCAGCCTCCCAAGTAGCTGGGACCACAGGCATACCGCACCACGCCCAGCTAATTTTTGTATTTTTGGTAGAGACAGGGTTTCATCATGCTGCCCAAGCTGGTCTTGAACTCCTGAGCTCAAGCTATCCATCTGCCTCGACTTCTCAAAGTGCTAAGATTACAGGCATGAGCCATCGTGCCCAGTTAACACGGGCATTTTTTTCTTCTTTTTTTTTTGAGATGGAGTCTCACTCTGTCACCCAGGATGGAGTTCAGTGGCACGATCTCGGTTCACTGCAACCTCTGTTCCCAGGTTCAAGTGATTCTCCTGCCTCAGCCTCCCGAGAAGCTGGGACTACAGACACACACCACCATGCCCAGCTAATTTTTTTGTATTTTGTAGAGACGGGGTTTCATCATGTTGGCCAGGCTGATCTTGAACTACTGACCTCAGGTGATTCAACTGCCTTGGCCTCCCAAAGTGCTGGGATTTACAGGCATGAGCCACCATGCCTGGCAATTTTTGTATTTGTAAAGTAGAGACAGGGTTTCACCATGTTGGCCGGGCTGGTCTTGAACTCCTGGCCTCAAGTGATCCACACACCTTGGCCTCCCAAAGTGCTTGGATTACAGGTGTGAGCCACTGCGCCCAGCCATAGACATTTTTTTTTTCTATTGTAGGCTGCTGATTTCCCTCGGGAGGAGGAGAAATCAATAAAATGGCCAACACTGATTAAAAAGTATCCTAATTTTGCCGGGCGCAGTGGCTCATGCCTGTAATCCCAGCACTTTGGGAGGCCGAGGCGGGTGGATCACGAGGTCAGGAGTTTGAGACCAGCCTGGCCAAGATGGTGAAACCCTGTCTCCACTAAAAATACAAAAATTAGCTGGGTGTGGTGGCACGCACCTGTAGTCCCAGCTACTTGAGAGGCTGAGGCAGGAGAATCGCTTGAACCTGGGAGGCAGAGGTTGTGGTGAGCAGAGATGGTGCCATTACACTCCAGCCTGGATGACAAAAGTGAAACGCCATCTTAAAAAAAACAAGTATCCTAATTTTAGTATGGATAAGCAAAGAATTATAAAGAAATATAACTTTTTTATATGTTAATATGCAATCATCATATTTAAAGTTAAAGCTAATTTCATGTTGAAAAATGTAGTATGTAATGAACACTGGGGTTAAGGAAGTAAAGTGTCTAAGGAGTTCCTCTGGTCCAACATCCAGTGCAGACATTCCCTATGTGTCTCTGGACAAATCCAGTGATATAATAGCTTTCTGCTCCATGAGACATCCCATTCCATTGTCAGTTACCCCATGGTTAGGAAGTCACTAGAAGTCTGTGCACTAGGCACTGAATTGAGTGTTCTGTGATATTAAAACAAACAAACAAACAAAAAAAAAAAACAAAGTTTTGCCCTAAAGAAACTTAATATCTTGTTCACAGAGTTCAGACAATAATATAACAACATCAGACAAGAAATTCAAAGGGCATTAGAAAGGTACAAACCAAACCTCATGGAAACTCAGAGGGAGAGACAAGATAGCCTGTCTGGCTGAGGGAACCACTGATCCTCCTAACTGCCTGTACTGATGCTAATTTATTTCATTTACCTGTCAGAGCTTGACATATTATTCAGTGAAAGTTGTCCAAAGCGGTAGTATAGCTAAGAGTTTGGCTTTGGATATTAGACATGTTTGGATATGAATGTGGACCCTCTCTATTTAGCCAGGTGACTCTGAACAAATTACATAACTTCACTGTACTTCTGTTTTCTCATTTGTAAAATGGGCATAGTAAGACCTATCTACCTGAGAAGCTTACTGAAGGATTTAATAACAACATAAAGTGTGTGAGCATAGTGCCTGGTACTTGGTGTTTAAAGATGGTAGCTTTTGCTTCTACTTTTTTCCATTTCCCTTGTTATTTTTCACCAACTTTTCTCTAGAATTTTAATCATTACTAATAATAAATTTCTTTTCTAAATCTCCTCACTTTTATGGCTATCCTCCTCTATACCATCTAGTTTTCATTCTCCTGTACAATGTGCTATCTAGAACTTTACAACAATACCACTTTTCCCCAAAACACAAAAGCTAC